AAAAAAAAAAAAAAAAAAAAAAAAAAAAAGGAAGCATGTAGTTTTCAATTTCTGTAGTACAGGTTGTTTAGTAAACTAGAAAGAGTAGTGGATTTTGAGTGGAAAGACTTAGAATTAAACTCACATTTATTCGTTCATTCATTCATTCACCCTGCATTTACTATCTGCCTATCATGTGTCAAGCACTGGACTAGGTACTCAGTGAATAAAAGGGGAAAACTTAGAAAACTAAGTAGTTTGTGACCGCTGACATTGAGAAGCCCATGTTGTAGTGAGGAAGATAGGCAAGAATCAGAATGCTCTGTACCAGAGAAGAGACTTGGGAGACATGCTATGGAAACTCAAATGACCAAGTTGCTCCCCACAGTTAGACTGAGGATGAGGTCAGTGAACTGTTGCAGGGTCACAGAAGAAATCACATTCAAATGGGGTTTTGAAGAGTGAATAGGAGTTAACCAGATACAGAAAAGGGGGAAGGGCATTTCAGGCAGAGAAAAGAGCAAGCAGAAAGGCCTAAATATGCTCTAAAGAGCCCACATTTGTTTATTTTGGACTCCATTTAAACTACAGACTTTTAGGGCTGGAATAGATTTTTAAGATTGCCTGATCTTCTCATTTATAATACAGGTATATTTAAAATGTAAACATGTAGGGGTATTTTCTCAGCTAACTTCTTTTTCTACAATCCATTCTTCTCTCATTACAGATGATACATTTTCTAGAAAAGAATAGACTCACATAATTTTGCTCATGTTCATTTTGATCCTGAGTTTCAGCATGATATAAAATAGAGGAGAAATGTAATAAATTTCATCCAGGAACATAACAGTGACACTTTAAAAATTAATGTTATAGAAATGTTCAATGAAAACAACCCTAGGTCAAAATTCTCATTTCAAATCTGCAGTGAGGATTTCATTGGCATGTCTTGCAAGTTAATAGGAGACAGAGATACCTCTTGTGGGATAAAATATATATAACTGTGCGTGTGTGTGTGCGTGTGTGTGTGTGTGTGTGTGTGCATGCATTCATTGCCTAGGCATTCTTTTCAAAATGAGAATAAGATTACAGATAATACCTCCTTCACAAGCTAATGTATCCTAGCACTGGTTGTTTTTAAGTGGTCATAAACATCTGACATACATATATCATCAGGACTTGAAACTTAAAATAGAAATCCATAAGCATTCTATTAATGACACTCAGTTCCATTTCTGAAGATGGGAATGTAACCATGGAGGTAAACAGAGGATATCTCACAGGCCAAAAAGCAGAGGGTATTTTAAAGCATCCTTAATCCAGGCCGGGCACGGTGGCTCATGCCTGTAATCTAAGCACTTGGGGAGGCCGAGGCGGGTGGATCATGAGGTCAAGAGGTCAAGACTATCCTGGCCAACATGGTGAAACCCCATGTCTACTAAAAATACAAAAATTAGCTGGGCATGGTGGCGCTTGCCTATAGTCCCAGCTGTTCGGGAGGTTGAGGCAAGAGAATCCCTTGAACCCAGGAGGCGGAGGTTGCAGTGAGCCAAGATTGTGCCACTGCACTCCAGCCTGGTGACAAAGCGAGACTCCGTCTCAAAAAAAAAAAAAAAAAAAAGCATCCTCAACCTTGAACTTGGGTAAAAAAAATGTTGATAATAGTATCTCCTGGACAGGACCATTGTCAAGGTCATGGAAATATGATGGAATTTAAAGCAGTATTGAGAAGTTATTTTTGCCCACTTTACTTTAGATTATTCAAATGGCACCAATGTGCTAATTAAGGAGCTATGATTTGAAATCCCAGTTAGGTCTTGGCTTACAAACATAAGCTTTGCAGCTTCCCACATTGCTTTGGAATTCTTGTGTCCCAACACTCCCCTAGACAGGCCTGGAATGTGAGTTTAGCGTGGCATGGTACCAAGGGATGGGCCATTTGTTTATCAGCGTTGCCTGGTACTGGCAAGGGTCATGGAAGGTGGGATACCAATTATAGGCTTGCCCGTCATTGAGCCCTGTTTGTCACCTGGGTCACAATCTCCATCACACCACCTGGCACTACTTTCTGGGCCAGTCCCAAAGATGACTGTGTTGTCACAGACAAATCGTGGGTCAAGATTAAAATGGGA